AAATATGAAAATATAAATACCGAATCTGGCGGAGGATCGTTCCTTGTTACCCTTCAATCAAACATCATAGTTTCAATTATGCCACGTTATTTAAATTTTTTCTAGAAATGAGGCTCAAATGAAAATTTGAAATAATTTTATTATAATATTATGTATTTATTAAAACAAGTAAATGGAACATTTCCCTAGTAAAAGTATTATCATTATTAAACCCTAATGTTATCTTTTTTCCTTTCCTTAATTGTCTTTTATCAATTTTTTCCCACATTTATTTCATCACAAAAGTGTTACAATTATACATTTACGATAGGCTTTCAAATCAAAATGGAGTAAAACCCAAAAACAAATATCAAATGCACTGAACTGTTTTGACTGTATAATTGTACATATTTAAATAAAAGCTCAACCAACTAGAATCACTGAGCAGTATTTGGTATTGTTTTTGGTTTTCAAAAGAATACAATCCAAAAACACGAAACTTCATTTATCATTCAATAGACCTGCCTGATAAACTACCATCTTAAAAAACAAATCTGAAATGGAATATTATTGAGAGATGATTTTATTCAGTCAAATAAAGAAATGAATGGTTTAGCTGCTTAATGTTTTTCATAGTCTAGAAGTCTAGAAAATTTGGAAAACCCCAAAAAACAATAAAACATAGAGAAATTGTTGATAATGGCAGACTTAGTTTGATTTCTTTCTTTTTTTAATGTTGTACATGAGGGAAAATGAAATGAACCCTCCCTCTCTCTCTGTCTCTGTCTCTCTCTCTCTCTCTCTCTCTCTCTCTCTCTCTCTCTCTCTCTCTCTCTCTCTCTCTCTCTCTCTCTCTCTCTCTCTCTCAAAGTCCACTGCCTAAGGCAAATTTCAATTTTAACTCGATAATGTGGATAAATGATTTCTAAGGACCGGTAACAACGTACAAGTACAGAGATAAAGAGCAGGGCATCGTGGCAGCGGCCACATAAAACCTACCGTCCATTTATTAATTCTGATATTTGAATAAAGTGTTCTGAATGTATTTAAATATTATATAACTTACCATTGGTTTTTCTTTTTTAATTTGTAAACTTTACAGGATATGACATAAATCACCAAGAAAGCAATCCCGGGAAGAATTAAATAAATGGTCACACGCCCATCCGATCCTGTTAAAATATATCAAAATAATGTGCTTTATTTTACAATTTATATCAAGTAAGGATAATTGTTATCGTTGTTTGTTATCGTTGTTATTTTGATTTTTGATTTTTATATGGATTGCTGTAGTATTGATAATTTATCATAATACCTGATAACTTTTTTGATAATTTCGAAAAAAATAGATACATCAACAAAAAATGTACCATCACGTGGTTCTTTAAATTAGCCGGATTCAAGGATTCCGTATCATAAAAATTAACGGTATAGACTGATGTTGGAAAAGCGGACTTTTTGTTTTCAAAGCAAAGAATGTGAAAATATGAACATTTAAAGGTGATTTTTCGATTTCGTTTAACTATATATATTTTTAAAGACAGATTGTGAAATATTAGTAAGATAGTAGATTCTTTATCATAATCTGGAGGTATCCTGCATTAACCGCCTCCGTGGTCGAGGGGTTAGAGTCGATGACTTCTAATCCAGTTACCTCTCTGGCGTGGATTCGATCCCCGGGAGATGCTTTGGTAGTTTAGCGCGGAGGAAGGTAGTCTAGTACTGGTGTAACTCTCCAGGAACGATGGTTAGGAAACTACCCGCCTATATGACTAAAATACTGTTGAAAAAGGCGTAAAATGAAACAAACAAACAAACAAACAAACAAACAAAAAGGGAACATTGATAAAAATGTATTACAATATATGTACGAGTGTTATTCATTTCTGGATTGGGACTATTACTTATTAAACAATAACAATAATAAACAATCTTAATCCCGTCCTGTTTTAATTTCGGTCCTGCTGGGCTCCTTGCCGGTTGTACTGTGTTGCTCTTCCGTGTGGAGTTTACATTCATTGAACGCCTTCCTTCCTTCTTGATCTTGATGTTCATATTTTAATATAAAAAATACTCAACAAGCACGGCAGTGATATATTCACAAAATTGTATTCAATTGCATAAAAATGTTTGTACTATAAATTACTATACTTCAAAATTGTTTAAATACTGGAAAGAACACATTATGCTCTTTAAGGCATCACTAACGTCTAAACGTCCCATTTTCATGAAATAGTCCCCGCCATACACTACACAGTTAATCCAAGTGGAATGTATGGTAATTGGCATGTTGTTCTAGATTTTCAAATCACAGAAAAAATAATGAGCATCAGTATATCTTCGGCACGATGTATTGCCTTGATGAACAATGAAACGTTCTACTTCATCGGCACCACGATTAATGCGGTTGCAATATATCAATTAACGTTTGATAACCTTAATTTAGAATGCAAAATAAGGCTGTCAAATTCGGGATCAATCATTTAGGTAGTTATATTAGAGGAAGAAAAACACAATCCATATGTTCATATAATGTAAATGCACTAATTGCATACAAGGTGAATTTTGAAAGTATGCAATTACTTTTTGAAAGTAGTCAATGTAAACATTCTGTCCCTACGGCACAACCTGCTTCCATTACGTCGATGAAGAATTTAAGCATCACCTTCATCGACTTTGATGTTCGCGCCTTCTTTGTAGGAGGTGATGAGGTGGTTTTCCATGACGCATAAGCTTGTGTTGACTTTTGGTGCTCCTGTGATAATAAACTCGGAACCAATCTAGCACATAAATTATGTGAGCACATTGAAAACACAATATTCACTCAACCCGGTAACTTCAGAAAGTTAAAAAACCGATATTCTTTTGTTTTCCTTTAATATGGCGATCATTTAGTACTGGTTTCTCTTCGTTCACGGACCATTGGTGACAATGTTCTATCCCGGAAGTATTTGACTGTGCCAATCAAAACACCTGTTTGGCATGTTACTCTCGCTTTATCTATCCATCTGTAAGAACTTGTATGTACGAGAGGTGTTAAACTATGCATGCAGCTTTGTCAATTTTCAGAGATGCTTAACAAACAGTGCCTAAATAATTGTCTAAATCTTTCAAAAAACTGACATTATGTGATATTTAAAGTTTTAGTCTTTTAATACAATAGTTTAATGCGTTTTCATAATCTTTTCGGGGTATACAGTTCAGACACTGGAAAATAACCGAGCCGATAATTTTTAGCGTTTGATATTTTCTTCTAGCAAGATGAGCATCGGAAAAAGGAAAAAGTCACACGGGGCAAGGTCTGGCGAATAGAGTGGAAGCTCAACACCATTTTTGCGAAAGATCGGAACTAACTGTTTTCGACAATTGTCAGACGTGATTTAGAAGTGAGAAGGACAAGTGCCCATCCCCTTACAAAAAAGCAAAAACATACTCGGGTACGAATCTCTAAAAAATTGTTCCCTAAATACAACAATCGATCTTTCGCAAATATCATCACAAACAGGAAAGCTAGACTGAACTGATTTATACATGTATTTCTATCAATTCATAGCTAACACAACCATTTATGCGATCAATGTACATACTTTGTGCAAAACGTGATTAAAATCGAGACATTCTCATTTGAACACCCCTCGTATCTGTGAGTGTCATGCTAACATTCACGCAATGTGTGATTATGGCGAGTTGCTCCATTCTATTTAAAATTAATGTATTCCTTCCGATATTTCAAAGAGGCGCAACTTGTCCATCATAATTATCTAGCTTGTTTATTATCGTAAGACGTCAACGTTTGGGCCGCAGTTATTTGAAATGACACCTGGTAAGATGAATAGGATATATCATATTGTTACGAGCCAGGCGTAACGAGAAAGAAAAGCCAGCAACAAACTTGTAACAATAACAAATTTATTACAGAAAAATTATTAAAGAAAAATAAAATAACAAATTATGTTAACAAATACCTGAAGTCCAAATGAAAATGAAAAATTACAAATGTCTAGTCTGATCCTGGAATGATCCTTTTTAATAGCACAGTTAAATCCAAGTTAAATCCAAGAACACTTTAGAATAAATTCCCACAATAAAATCCACGAGAATAATTTATTTTAAAATCCAAGCTCCAATAATTCACTTAATATCCAAGTTGAATAATACTCCAAATATATTGATTTCTTAAAAGGTAACTGATGACTTAATAGATCACTGATGACTTAAAAGGTAAAAGAAAAGAAAAATATGCCGTAATATATATAAACTAGGAACATTCCAGAATAGTCTATTATGTTCTAGTGTAATCATAATCTAGCACTTTCAACAATAAAGAACAGTCCGGAAGTTTCTAACTAAATATAATGCATGAGTTTATCTACAACAATTAAGAAAGTTCTAGTACATACATGTAGTTTATGTTCTAAAAATAGAACAATGATATTATTGGAAATACCAACTGGTCAGATACAAACTATATACATGTAATATGTTGCATACATAACACTTCCCCTCTTCAAGAAAAAGAAATATGAATGAAATGAATATTTCTTTTACATAAATCCAAACAATATGACTTGCGAATAATAGGAGAAAGTAAAACAATTTTATACAATCATATATATGTGTATTATAAACAATAGCAAACAACAACAAAAAAATAACCAATCATATCATATAAATGCTATTACAAACAATAATATAAAAATAAACAATCATATGATGTAGATGTTAAATGTAAATACTGAAAATATCAGTTTTAGACACGAGAAAGTGCATCAGGGATCAAATTATCTTTCCCTTTAATGTGTCTAATGTCAAGACTATATTCTTGCAAAAACAAACTCCACCTCAACAACCTTTGATTTTTGTTTTTAAGTTTATGCAAGAAAGTGAGGGGATTGTGATCACTAAAGACAACAACAGGCAACTTTGAAGAAGTTAGATAAACTTCAAAATGCTGAATAGCAAGAATAAGAGCAAGGCACTCTTTCTCTATAGTAGAGTAATTTTTCTGATGTTCATTAAACTTTTTAGAAAAGTAACACACAGGATGGTCAACACCATTGTTGTCTTCTTGGATCAGTACACTTCCAGCACCTATGTCACTAGCATCTACAGCTAACTTAAAGTTTTTATTAAAATCTGGTGCCAAGAGAACTGGTGCACTCTTAAGTATGGCTTTAAGGCTGTCAAATGCCATTTGACACTTGTCATTCCAAATGAATTTGTTTCTTTTCTTTAACAAATTTGTCAATGGTTCTGCAATAACCGAAAAATTATTACAAAATTTACGATAATACCCTGCCATACCAAGAAATCGCATCAGTTGTCTTTTACAAGTTGGCACAGGAAATTCAAAGATAGCTTTGACCTTAGCTTCTATTGGTTTTACTTTACCCTGTCCCACTACATGTCCTAAAAATGTTAAAATTGCAGGACAAAATTCACTTTTTGCAAGATTAACTGTCAATTTAGCATCACTAAGTCGGTCGAAGAATGCTCTTATAGTTGTGAGATGTTCCTCCCATTCATCAGAGTAGATGATTGCGTCATCAATGTATGCGTCACATCCGTGTAGACCAGATATTACCATGTTAATAAGCCTCTGAAAAGTTGCTGGTGAGTTTTTCATACCAAATGGCATGACTTTATATTGATATAAGCCGTCTGGTGTTACAAAGGCTGATATTTCTTTAGCTCTATCAGTAAGTGGAACTTGTCAGAATCCTTTTAGAAGATCAAACTTTGTCACATACTTTGCTTTTCCAATTTTGTCAATACAGTCATCAATTCTTGGTATAGGAAATGAATCAGTTTTTGTTACAGAGTTCACTTTACGGTAATCTGTACACATTCTATATGTTCCATTTGATTTCGGTACAAGAATACATGGAGAGCTGTAACTGCTTTGACTTGGTTCAATAAAATCATTATCCAATAAATACTGAACTTCTTGTCTTAGGTATTTTTGTTTTACAGGATTCGTTCTATATGGATGTTGTTTTATTGGTTCAGAGTTTTCAAGAATGACGTCATGATGTATTTTATCAGTCCGTGTGGGAATATCAGGAAATAAATGTTCATATTCATTAATAAGCTGTTTCAGTTCATCTCGTTTCGACGGTTCTAAATGAGCAAGTTTTTCATCCAGATTTTTCAGAATATCAGAGTTTTCAAGCTTTGCTGAACCAGGATCAGACTTTTCAAAATTTTCACACCTATTAGATTCAATTGAACATTGATTTTGTGGAACAGAGTTTACAAAAGATATAGGTTCACTAATTTTGCTATCTCTATCAAAATATTCTTTTAACATATTTATTTGACACATTTGTTTTTGCTTTCGCCTCCCAGGAGTATTAATAATATAATTAAGGTCACTGACTTTCTTTTCAATAGTATAAGGACCAAAGTATCTTGCCTGTAATGGTTTTCCAGGTATAGGTAAAAGAGCAAGTACTCTATCACCAGGGTTAAAACTTCTTTCCTGAGCATTCTCATCATACCTTGATTTCATTTTACTTTGTGTTGATTTTAAATTAACCCTAGCTAACTCACATGCATTAGTCAACCTATTACGAAAATCTGATACATACTGAAGCAAATTTAAAGATATGTCATCTTCAGAAAGGAATTTCTCTTTTATAAGTTTTAAGGGTCCTCTGACAGTGTGACCAAATACTAATTCAAAAGGGCTGAAGCCAAGAGATTCCTGAACAGATTCTCTTACAGCAAATAACAATAAATGGATGCCTTCATCCCAGTCTTTTTCCGTGTCAAAACAATATGACCTAATCATATTTTTCAGAGTCTGGTGAAATCTTTCTAATGCACCTTGACTTTCAGGATGATAGGCTGAAGACCTATATTGAGTAATTCCTAACTCATGCATGACCTGCTGGAAAATACCAGACATAAAATTTGACCCTTGATCAGACTGTACTGATTTAGGTAAACCAACAAAAGTGAAAAATTTCACAAGAGCCTTAACAATAGTTTTGGCTTTAATATTCCTTAAAGGAATAGCTTCAGGGAAGCGCGTAGAAGCACACATAATAGTTAATAAGTACTGAGAACCTGATTTAGTTTTTGGTAATGGACCTACACAGTCAATAATAACTCTACTAAAAGGTTCATCAAATGCAGGAATAGGCTGTAAATGAGCTTTAGGTATTGTCTGGTTAATTTTTCCAACCATCTGACAAGTATGACAAGATTTACAGTACCTAGATACATCTGCTTTAAGGCCAGGCCAATAAAAATGATTGAGAATTTTATGGTAGGTTTTATTAACACCTAAATGACCTGCCATGGGTTTTTCATGAGCCAAGCTTAATATTTCCTGGCGATATGATTTAGGGACCACAATTTGGTGATTAACTGTCCACTCCTCTTCAGCAGGGACATTGGGCGGTCGCCATTTTCTCATTAAAATCCCATTCTTTTCATAATAACAAACAGGGACTTGTAAAGCTTCATCTTCACTAAAAGCCTTTTGAAAAAGGACAGAAATCTCAGGATCATTTTGTTGTTCCTGGATAAGCTGTGACCTTGACAGCGTATCATGACCTTGATCTTTAGATCTTGGTGTAGAAAAGTCAGATATTGAAAAATCTGTCTGAGTTTCAGGCAGAGTAGGAGTGAGAGAAAAATTCATTTCATTATCAAAAGACTGACCTATAAAAGTATCAGCTAAGTCAATATCTGAACAATAATTATCTTCTTGAATGGCCTTCTTAGCCATAGCTCGAGTAACTGCACATGAAGGGTAAAGGTCAGGGATTTCCTGCTCAATGGGGTCAGGTATCTGATCCACACAAGGAGTGTCAGTTACAAGTGGATTAACCACTACCTTATCTCCAGCTAAATCATTACCTAGCAATAAATGAACACCTTTAAAGGGTAAGAAAGATCTTATACCTACAGCCACCGGCCCAGTTACCAAATCTGAGGACAAATAAATATTATGGAGAGGGACATTAGAAAAACCACACTCTACACCCTGAATAAGGACACTAGATCCAGAAGAAGTCTTCTCAGTAAAAGGCAGTGTATCTGCTAAAATAAGAGATTGAGAAGCTCCTGTGTCTCTTAAAATTTTAATAGGGGTAGGTGGGCAAGTACCACCGATAAGTGACACGGAACCGTCCGAAAGGAATGGTTCATAAATCTCCATTATAGAATCAGACTTCGGTTCTTTGACCTTCAAAATTGCATTGTTATCAATACAAGACTGAGGTTCAGACCTTGAAGTGGTAAGACCTGTGGGTTTGGCCTCATCACGTTGTTGTTGCCTCCTTTTTAAGGTAAAGCAATCAGAAATAAGATGTCCAGTTTTCTTGCAATAATTGCATGTAGGACGAGATAAGGGACTATGACCTTTATGTTCATCAGATGACTTTGGTTTGGGAGTATTTGACTGACTAGATAAGCCAGATAAATTACCAGAACTGAACTTGGAAATAAAATATGAGGGTGTGGACTTCCCTTTATTTAAAAATGAGACTTTGTGGGTTAAAGAATAATCATCAGCTAGACGTGCAGCTTCTTCTAAAGTTTCTACCTGTTTTTCATCTAAGAAAGATTTAACATCAGAGTGAATACAACTTTTAAACTCTTCAACTAACATGAGCTGTCTGAGCTTTTCATGATTTTTATTTATTTTTTTAGATAGACACCACCGATCAAAAAGTTGTTCTTTTTCCCTTGCAAATTCGACATGGGTTTGACCAATTTCTTTCTTAGAATTTCTGAATTTTTGCCTGTAGGCCTCTGGTACTAACTCATAACCTTTCAGAATTAATTCTTTTACATTATCATAATTAGAGCTTTGTTCAACAGTAAGTTGTGTATAGATTTCACGAGCTTTACCAGTTAAGACGCTCTGTAAAAGTAATGTCCAGTGCTCTCTTGGCCATTTTAAATTTTCAGCAACCTTTTCAAAATGAAGAAAATACTTATCAACTTCTTTTTCTTGGAAAGGTGGAACAAGCCTAATATTTTTAGTGACATCAAATTTTGAATTTATTCTATGTTCAAACTGATTTGCTCTCTCTTTGATTTCTAATTCTCTCATTTTTAACTGAAATTCTCTCTCTTCTCTTTCTTTTTCAAACTGCCTTTCCCTTTCTTTTTCTTCCCTTTCTTTTTTTAACTGCCTTTCTTCCCTTTCTTTTTCTAACTGTAACTGCCTTTCTTCCCTTTCTTTTTCTAACTGTATCTGCCTTTCTTCCCTTTCTTTTTCTAACTGTAACTGCCTTTCTTCCCTTTCTTTTTCTAACTGTAACTGCCTTTCTTCCCTTTCTTTTTCTAATTTCATTTTTTCTAGTTCAAATTTAAATTGAAGTTCAAGCTCTTTTATCTTAATTTCTGGGTTTGTTTCAACAATCAGAGAAAGTGCATCTTGTCCAAAAATATCTTCATCCACAAAATAATGAATCAGAAGATTTTTAATTTCTTGTTTACGCATTGAAAATTTAATTTCTGATAAATTATTCTTTTTTGCAAGATCGAGCAAATCAGTTTTCTTAGCCAAATCTAATACCTCCTGGGAAGGTTCAGCTACAAACTTTTCTAAATTAAAAGACATGACTGCTTGTTGCTGGTTTTAAACTCAGGAAGTGATGTGTTTCAAAAATTTCAAAATGAAAGGTACACTTAATAGAACAACTATGATATCAACTCAGATGAGTAAATACGGTAATAATAAAATGTAAAATAAACAATAATAATTTCCAATATTGTAGCCAAAAAGAAATATTCAAATCCCGGACGAGCCCCCAATTTCTGTTACGAGCCAGGCGTAACGAGAAAGAAAAGCCAGCAACAAACTTGTAACAATAACAAATTTATTACAGAAAAATTATTAAAGAAAAATAAAATAACAAATTATGTTAACAAATACCTGAAGTCCAAATGAAAATGAAAAATTACAAATGTCTAGTCTGATCCTGGAATGATCCTTTTTAATAGCACAGTTAAATCCAAGTTAAATCCAAGAACACTTTAGAATAAATTCCCACAATAAAATCCACGAGAATAATTTATTTTAAAATCCAAGCTCCAATAATTCACTTAATATCCAAGTTGAATAATACTCCAAATATATTGATTTCTTAAAAGGTAACTGATGACTTAATAGATCACTGATGACTTAAAAGGTAAAAGAAAAGAAAAATATGCCGTAATATATATAAACTAGGAACATTCCAGAATAGTCTATTATGTTCTAGTGTAATCATAATCTAGCACTTTCAACAATAAAGAACAGTCCGGAAGTTTCTAACTAAATATAATGCATGAGTTTATCTACAACAATTAAGAAAGTTCTAGTACATACATGTAGTTTATGTTCTAAAAATAGAACAATGATACTATTGGAAATACCAACTGGTCAGATACAAACTATATACATGTAATATGTTGCATACATAACAATATCACTTAAGTGGGACTTCAAAGTGCTCCAGAGCGTTTGTAATGAAATATTTCAACGTAATCTAAAATTAAAAAAAAAAGTTTTTTTCACTCAAATTTAAAGATACCTATCGGAAATATGTTAAAACACATATGACTGTGTAATTTTAAAGATTAAAGTGATTTAGATTTTCAAAGATAAAGACCCATTTTTGGAACTTCATGAGTGGCCTATGCATTTACCTTGTTCACGGCTTATTTGTTCCGAATTTTCCCATCGGATCTCTGTTGAAATAACATCATTTTGCGTCTCATTGTATGCATGTGTAATTAAACCAAATCGAACAGTAGCAGTGCCAACAAACGTGGTTAAATTCTTTTCTGAAGTTTTAAGTATAAACCACTTCAAAGGCTCCTATGAAAGAATTATCAAAGTTATAAAAAGGGCACTCAGTTGATTGAGTTAATCTATTAAAGATACTAAATATTACAATATCTGTAACACTATTAATCTATATTTAACATTAATGACTTTGGAATTAGTGATCCTGAAGACCAGATATACACAAAACAAAATCTTGAGCTGTAGTTAAAATTTACGAATCTAAACAAAAGAGCTATGATTACCAATAAAGAGTATATGATTAAAAAGCATGATTTTCTTATCATGTCATTTGTAATGATCAGATCATGTTATATCAGCCAAATAAATCATTTACGTTTATGTGTTTCTGTTAGCGATGTTGGCGATGAACATTGTATATTTAATGCAAAATAAAATATTGAATTTGAAATTTTGAATTTGTTAAGTAGGCAGGCAGTCTTTCTTCCTGGCCGTCTCATTATATTAACAGTGCTACGCAAAGATAATTCTATAAACTTTACAATATTTTACTTCGTTATCTTAGAACATACATTCGGGAGGGAACAGGACTAAATAACTATTTGTAGATCTTAAACAGCAGACTGTAAGGGTATAAGCATATTATACTGTAAAAGGTAAAACAAAAGGTAAGAGACAACATGTTATTCCTGTAAGTTTGTATCAAAATCTTCCAAGAGGCTGAGATATCATTTAAAACTTATTTAAAGCTTATTTCTATTTTTTAGCCATTTTGTTTGACAAACATTAATTATTTCACTACATTTTGTAACGAAATACATGATGATCAGTTTACTAATAGTACTTTGTAAACTCTGGTTTCCATCGTTGTCAACAGACAAGAACGACTTTAGAAGTTTTTGTAACCAGTACAGGTGTCTTATAAAAAAACAAGCAGAGCTTGAACTACACCTTGGCTGGGAGGCAGATTCCTTTATCACTAGGCCACCGCTTACTTTAAGAAATTGTAAGGGACGACTTAAAAAATGCGCCGAGTTTTACGAAAATCGTCCAAATTTGGAAGGAAATAACAAAACTGTATGTTAAGCTCAGAAAGCTCTTTGTTTACAGGACAGGGAAATATATAAAGGACCATCCAAGAAACGTTCCTATATAGTTTAAATTACAGGCCGAGAGGTTTTCGAAGGAATGTTGTTAGGTAATAATTATTTTAATTATTTGACACGTTCGAGACGAACGTTTAGTGATCATAAAAGCTCATGTTAAGCTCAGCACATTATGTGTTTATGTGCTAAATAATGTACATGTTTACGTAGTATATTTCTTATCTTAATTCATTATCCGTTCGTTACAATTTTTACCATAGCAATTTCAAATAACCATTTATTAAATCTATTTTCCGAACATAATAAGATACGGTTAACACTTTTAAAAATATATTAATTTGTTTTTACCCTACACGAAGATTCCACAACAAGTTCACATAAAACCACGGTATGGTATATGTGTTTGAAGGCTTTCTCTTTTGTCGTCACGGTTGCAACAACCATGATATCTTTTTGACGTCGTGTAAAGTCTATCTTAAGATCAGATGGTACCGGAGCTAAAATTATCATAACAAAAAAGAAAAAGTTAAATCTTTTTCATACAAACATAAGGGATGAAATTCAAAACAACTTTTACCATTTCATGTTTAAATGTTGAATTCTGCTTAAGCCGGTGCTAGGGGGCGTGGACGGTAGTTTGCACTTTACAGTACCATCCATGAACAGGCTCAATCAAACCGAGCCTGCAACATTTTCAATTATGTTGTGTTGGACTTTCTTTAGGGATTCCTATTTTCTCTATTTTATGTAAGTCAACCGTTTAATTAGATAAAAGTAAAATATCATTATAATGAATTAATTGTATATGAGAAAAGCAAATATAAACATGTGTTTATACCTATGTCTTCTGTATAAACAGAAAAACGTTTGACTTGCTTCGATATACCAACGCTATTCTTGGCTAAGAATGTTATCTCCGTCTTTTTCATAAGCTGAATATCAGTTTCTATGTAGAATTTTGGATGTTGAATGCATGTTCTATTTCCAATTACTCGAATGCAATAAACGACATTGTCAGGACTATCGTGTAAGTCACAGTCACTTAAGGGCTATAAATATATTCAGAAATTTTAATTTCTTAAAATCTGTGAATAGAATAAGTATTTTATTAAATGCTTATTAAATGTATTCTATTTAGCTATATCATTTTATTTTATGTATCTGCAAAACATTAACTCATTTACCATTCATTGGGGGATAAATATAAGGTAAGCATTTCCATATATAATGTGAAAATGTACGTTATTTTGAAAAATGTATGTAAACTTACCCTAAAATAGAAAATAAACGAATGTGAGCCTTTTTCTGTACTTCCACCAATTTCATACAAACCATCGGTTGTATTTGGAGAGTTGTATGGGACTGTTGAATAATAATTGCAATTTTGATTATTTAAATTTTTATCTTTTTAAACGTTATGTACATTTGTATTATGCAGAGGTACAAATTTCAAGAAGTGCAAATTTCATAGTTTATAAGGGAAACGCCACACAAAAAAAACATAAAATTTAAATTTATGTCATAGATAAGCTTATGAACTTATTATTCAGAATTATTATATTCAGAAATAAATTGACGATTCAAAGTCCAAATTGAGTGAAACATGTTGCAAAGCTTTTTTATTTTCATTTGCTTTTGTCATTTTCCTCGGAAGAATAAGATTCTGGAATTCTGCAGTGAACTATTGATCTATAGTTTTGAACAAAAGGTACTGGTACAAATCTATATCAAACATAGATATTGAAAAAGTATTTCCAGCAGCGCGATTGTTTAAACAACCTAACAACCTAAATGCACCCTTGATTCTGACAATATGACATGTTTCTGATTATTCATTTTCATTTATTGGCATACGTCGGACTGATGATATGAAGTCTGCAAGTGATAATTGCTGTATCGGTTCGGAAATGATCTATTTTTATAAAGGTGCTTTCGAGTTTTTCCAACAGTATTAACCTCTTGTAGACAATGGTAATAGCTCGTACGAATATACAACATAAAGTACGTAACACGTTTAAAAATCAGACTACAAATATTTTTTTCAGTCATTGTAGTCTTTTGTTGTTGCTGTTTTTTTTCTTCATACTAATGTCGTCATGTAGTATATATAATTGTATGTGAAAATGAATATATAAAGAATCAATTTATTCTAATTAACTGTAGTTCAAGATCTTGGCAAAACATACCGTCTTTTTGTACGCTAAAGGACACTGTTGAGAGGTTGCTCCAGAAGCCCTTTACTGTGTCGTGTGGCATAATCCGACAGGTGACACTAAGCACAATTCTATCATATGGAGGCAGATTGCATATTTTTTGTGCAAAGTCTGTTGGACGTTCACGATAGTATAAGACGTTCCTCGTCTAAAACAAAATATTAATAAAACTGTCATCACGTAATAATTCACACATAGAATTGATAAAGAATATGTTTTAATTTAAAAAGAGTATTAGATAACTAAATCATACAATTAAAGAAAACTGTTTATGAAAATCATATCTTCAAAATGCGAATATCAATGGATATATTTTAATTCGACTTAATAGTTGTTAACATCTAATCACACCATTGACATACAGATGGTTTGTACTTAAGAGTATGCCTTACCATATCTCTTTTACACTTAGATGTTGTTGTCAGTTTACAAATATATTTTGTACGAATTTGTTGGAGATTCCAGTCTACAGACATACAACCAGCTTCTGAGCCATTTATCACAGCTAAATTCTTTACTGGTGGTGGTTTAACTGCAAATAATGAAATAGTTTTGACTAAGGTTAGCAACCCAGGAAAGATAAATTTTCTTAATGAACGATTCACCACCTTTTTGGTTACCAACTTCTTTTAGGACATAAAAATGCAATGGCAAGACAACAGTTTGAAAAATATATATTTATGTAGATTAAATGACAAGTCTCATTTAAGATTGACGTGCAGGCAACATGTCACGTATGGCAAACTTAAGCTTCGCTACTTTTCAAAATCAAGATCAAAATATTTTTAATTGGTGTATACTTACTGATATCAAGAACTTCGAATTTTTGACAAGAAACGGTGCTTTCGTTTGTATTAACATCACTGACATTAACCGAAAAACTGAAACCCATTTGTTTTTTTTGGGGCCCCAAAAATTTTCCCCAAAAAGAACTACCCTTTTATTCTGTTTTCAGCCCATACCTTGAAAAAAATTTTGGAAAAACTTTTGCTTGTTAAAAAGAAAAGACATTATGGCCATCGAAAATCCTTTATGAAATCAATCTCAGAAAATCTAAACTGTCGGTGAATTTCTAACAAACGCCCTCGTGATTTTGCCACTTTTTACAAAAAGAAGAAATATATCAGGTGTTAAAGGAAACTTCACTTTTATCAGCTATTAGTTTTTCCTCCTTTCGACAATATAATTTTAATATTATAATTTTAAGAACAACGCCATTTTTATTGATATTAATGTTTTTATTTCACGTAAAATGAATAACATAAAATATGTAACATTAACACTATCCGCCAACAGATTTGAATCCTAACAGTTTCACAAAATTTTGTTTTGTAGAATTGAAAATAACAATTTGTCGTTTTGATGCGAAAACAAATTAACCCCACTTATGCATAAAAAGATCTTTCGTGGTCAATTCCTTACGCATCAAAATATTCCGCAGTCAGAGATAATAATTTCCCATGAAAAATCTTCTAGGCACTTACACTACAAAGTATATAATAATATTAATATCAGGTCGCCAGGGTTAACACGAAATTGTATGAAAAAACATATCATCATTAGTAAACTTACATGAAGCTAATTCAGTACAACAACAAAAATTTTGAAGAAATGCATTTTTTATGAATAATTGTTTTCTTACCAGGTTATTATATTGGTATTCCCTACGAATTTGTATAGCGACAAGCATTAACTTTCCGATGTGCTTAAAAGAGTAATTTACTAAACCATGTCTTCTGTTCAGCTTCAAGGGAACTAAACAGGAAAAACGAATTCTGAAGTCAAAGTACATACAGGAAATGATTGGTAAGGGTAAGCCAAAACAATTGAAATAGGTTTAAAAATTGGTAAAATATCATTAACAAAAAAGATTTGGTTTCAATTCACGCTAAGGTAGTTAAAACGTTTACTTGTTTATGATTTTTTTATTCTTCTAAGGTATACGTTTAGCACAAATCGTAACATAAAATTAATGTGGTCTTGCAAAGTGAAAATTATACTGGTAATATTTTGGTAATTCTATCTAATTTTGCAATTTAGGGGGCGATTGTTTTTTTCCCTTTTTGAATCATAGCAAAATAAAGAACGGTCTTCTGTTGGGTAAGATATGAAACCCCAGGGAAAAGGGGAAACTAAAAAACGAGCATCTGAAAATGTATTGCATCGCTTTCCTCGTTTCGTCGTCAAAAAAAGTTAACCCCAGCAAAAAGGCCATAAAATTTGCCATGCACTGGAAATGCAGGTAACCCAAAATTCCTGCACCCCAGTAACGACTGAAGTATTTTATACGTTTTAAACTCTGACCCCTTTTCAACAAAAAAAGGCCCCAAAAATGATACAAGTTTTTTTAAAACATGTAATAGAAAATGTTTACACTGGGTTAAAAATAACACTGAAGAGAAAACATTTTTTACCCTTAAAAACGGGTTTTTGCCTGAAAAACAATTTATTTTTTTCCCCCTATGTTTTCTCTAAAGGTGTCTTTAAGTTCAAATTAAAATACGAATTTTTTAAAATTTTTCTTTAAGGGGGAATCGTTTTTTCTTTTATTATGTATTTTAAAAACGGATTTATGTGAACCGTGAAGATAAAACCTGAAAATTTAAAAGAAGTGAAATTAACCCCCGGGGTCTTTCGTACAAATCCAAACAAATACTGACCCTTTTTTAAATAATAAAAAAACTTTTAACTTTTTAAAAAAAAAACACTTCAACACGAAAAAAAATTTCAAAACCGGGGTTTAATAAAGGCCCGGAAAAATATTAACCGAAAAACGGGGGAAACTTTACAATTTCCTGAAATCCGGTTTAATGCGCCAACAAAAATTCAAAAAGTTTCAACTTAAATTTAATGAACCCAAAAATTTAAACTTCAAAAAATTTGTGATTAAAAATTTTCAAAATTTTAACTTTTTAAATTTCCAAAAAATTCACGTTTTGCAATTTCATTTTTTTCACAGAAATTCAAAATTCACAAATTTAAAATTTAAAACAAAACAAATGCAACTTAAAGTTTTAATTTCTAAATTTTTAAAATAAATAAAAATTTGAATTTAAAATTTTTAAAAATTCATAAAGGGTTAAAATGGGAAAAATATAAAGTTAAATTTTTATGACAATTTTAAAACCCGAATTTTAAAAAAAAAATCCTGGACATTGAATTTTTGGGGCCGGAAAAATATATATTAAATGCTTTTTACTACTTACCCCCTCTTTGACATTTCCTTCCAGCAACAATAAGTTTTGAAAAAGAAAGTATTATAAGCCAATGTACGAAGAAATAGAAAATCCTTTGGGATAACGCCTAAAAAAACGGCTATAAATTCCAAACATGTATCAAAGTTAAATAAACGTTAAAATTTTCGTATATTTAAATCAGGAAATTAACATCACATTTGCTCAAATTAAAGATTCATCATGAGTCACATTTCTGGTCAAGGTTTGACCCTAAATCCTTTAAAATCAAGCAAACAGGTTTACTTATAATGCACCGGACAAACTCCATAAGAGCAATCAGAAAGTAGTTATGTTTCGTTTATCAATTCATTTTATCTAAAAACGAACCATTTGATTTAAAACGTTTTTTTGCCTACCGTGTTCGTTTGTTGCATCATTAAATTCTTATAACAATAACTATTTTCCACCCAATAAATTTTAGACAATAAATCTAGTATTGATATATGCATTTGCCGAACCACAAAAAATGTGACTATCTGATTCAATACATGTTTTCATAGCCTATTTAGATCTGTTAACTATAAGCGACATTAAGACTACAATTACTTTACACAAAAAAAAATCTATATTGTTTTCAAAATTATTTTTTTTTAAATATATTGGCGATTTAATCTTCGAAAGTAACATCGTAACACTGATAAGCCTTTTTTCGAACCAGCGTCCAGATTTAGTGACGTATCTATCTAAATATGGAAGATCTGAAGCGCCCGCATTACACAAGTATCCGTCAACAATAATAAAAACGTAAATAAAAAGACGTAGTAATAGCTGTAGTGTTTCTTTTGCAGAAATATACTTATATTAACCGTAAATTAGGTATTTGATAACTGGTGGAAAATCATTTTCCTCTGTCGGCGGAAATCGTTTAAAATCACAGAAAAAAACTAGTTAGGGAAATATGTATGCATGTTTTTTGATGAAACTCACTGAGATGTGACATTTTAAAATTTATTAAAAATATGTTTTTTTTTTTTGGGTTTAAAAAGGTTAAAATTACCTGTGCAATCTTTTAAGGCCTTTTTTAAGGTTATCCAAACACACTAAAACCGGAAGTTTTTATTTTAAAAAAGATTAAAAAAAATTTTAAAACAAACGAAAAAAAACCTTTTTTAAGATGCACCAAAATTAAATCCTTTTTAAAATTTAATTCTTGGGGTAAAATTTAATAAAATTAAGCAAATAACAACCCATCCTTTAATAAAATTTAAAAAAAATTTACATGTTTCTATTCTAAATGACAATCAATGCATGCGTGAATTTGGTAGGGTTTATTAAGCCAATTGATAAAACTTAATGGGTTTTTTAACATCGGTTCTGTTAAGGTTTAAAGAATTTTCATTTTATACATTTTTGACAAGTAGTGAGTAAAAAACGAATACCTTTTGTATCCGGAAAGGGGGGATTACGTGTTACCATTGAAGAAATAACCCCAAGGTTTTCTCTATAATGAAAAATAATGGTAACAAAAACTACATAAAAAAAAAGTCCAAATAAATTGTTTTATAGGGGTTATTTGATGTTTTTTAACATTGTTAAAATCATATTTATATAATTAAACATTTTCCAAGTTTACAATTCTATCCCCTTGTTTTGAGGGGGCTTGAAATTCAAAGCTTCCCTTATTTCAAAACTTTATTTTCATTTTACCCTTGAAGTAAACTAAGTATGTGACACTTACATATATACATACACACACCTATGGTTACAAATAAATAAATAAATAAAGCTGCTCTACGAAAAGAAAATGGGAAATCAACAGTATAAATATTAAACCGTTTAAAAGAAGCTAATTTATTATATATAATTTTTTACTAAACATACATTTTTTAAGTTATTTGGCCTTTTAAAGGGTTTATTAAAATTATTATACGGGTCTTTCAAAAACGGTTTCAATTTTTTGCAAACAAAAATTTTAACCCCAATTGTTCCCCTTTTAAACCAAATAAAACTTTCAAACCGTTTAAAAGTCAAATTTTTTAATCAGTGTATACGGGGTTTTTTCCCTTTAGAAAAAAATTAAACGGGGACCCCGAAGGGGAAACACAACATTGTCGTTTTGGTGGAAAAAATCAAAATTTTTTTGTATATTGATATGATTCAGCCCAAGTAAATAGGAAAAAGGTTTTTCCCCCTTTTCCCCTTAAAACCCCCGAAAAAAAATTTCCCATTTTTAAGGGAATTTCGTCGCACAAAAATTTAAACCCCAAAATATTTTTAAAACAAAAACCAAGATTTAAAAGCGGGTTTTAGTTTTTTTTAAAGTTTAAAATATGTCTTTTTAGGAAACGTTGTATTTTTGTAAAATTTCAAAAAATTTAAGGGGGATAATGGTTTTGGCCGCCCGGGAAACACAAAAAATATTTTAAACCCCCGAAAACCTTTAATTTTATAATAAAATTTAAAAAAGGAAACATTCGTTGTCTACCCCTTTTTTGGGAAAACGAACGTTACTGGGGGTTTACACCAAAAGTTTGGGGAAAGGGAAAAAGGTTTAAAAGTGATTTTCCAAATAAAAAAACAAAAATTTTAAACAACAAAAAAAAAAAGTTAAAAGGCCGTTTACTTTTAAACCCTTTCATCAACTATAACCCGTTTTTAACAGGGCCTTTTTAAAACCTTTTTTATTTTTCATAAACTCCCCAAAAATTTATTCAAA